ATGCGGGAACGACTACGGTATGATTATATGCATTATATTATTGTTATTGTATATAGGCCGAATATTTGATAAACACAGACACCTTTTTTTGCATACAGTACTAAAATTACATCTATTACCACCCTTTTTATTATTACTATAATAATAATAATAATAATAATAATAATAATAATAATAATAATAATAATAATAATAATAATAATTATTATTATTATTATTATTATTATTATTATTATTATTATTTTATTATTATTATTGTAATATTTGTTGTTATCATTGCTATTACCGTATTATTATTATAAATATTATAATCATTAATATTATTATCATTAGTCTTAGTATTATTTTTATAATTATACCGTACTGTAAACGAGTGGTAAGGTAAAATGTACTGTAATGTATTACAATGTTGCTATTATTGTTAAACAAGATTGTTAATCTTCATTAAGTAATATGATAAAAAATCTTGACTAAGTATTAATGATGAAAAGAGGTGGTACATTTCACAATGGTCATGCAACACTTCAATGTTTGTGTTTTGTATTTGTTATTGCGTATACAGTACAGTATTGCTATGTAGGCTTATCATGTAGGCCTATATGCAATTACATACACGAAAGAAATGTTGGCATTAAGACCTTGACTTTTTTTTTTGAACAAATAGTCTCCTAAGGGAATCGGAGGATTTTGGCATTTCTATTTTGTTTAATTAAATTGTTTTGTAATCATTATTATACTGTATTTGCAATTAACAATCATCACCACCACACTGTTATAGGCTACAGGCAAAACTAAAAATCAACATGAAATTCAAGTGTCAATCAACTTTTTATTTAATAAGTATCTGTCTGTATCATTCAAAGTTAACAAAAATGTAAATAAACAAATACTGTATAAGAATTGTTCTAGTAAATTGAGTTATTGTAGTAACGTCAGCCTATACCTAACAATATGCACAATAATAATAACAATAATAATATTTTAATAACAATAATTTAACAATAAAAAGTAATAATAATAAATTTATATATAATTAATAAAAATAAAACAACAATAATAATCGATTTAATATGTTGCATTGCTTGCATCTGCTTATTCACTGTTAAGGCCATATACTTACTGTATTATGGTTATTGAAGTATTTTGTGTAAGCCATTTCTGTTAATTGAATAATAATATAACGTATGCTGTAATGTACTCACTATAAATATTTCATGCGTGTCCAGGATATCTTAATGGAATATTTATAGTGAGTAAATTAAATTTTACATCGTAAGTGCGTTATATTATTATTATTCAATTAAGAGCCGAAATAGCTTACAAACTGTAGGCCCTCTTTAGGCTATACGCGCCTAGACAGTTGGAAGCGACGATCGAAGAAAAACGGTTAAGCAAGCCATGGACTTCTCTAACTTCCATTCCTCAGTATTAAAATCCTTCCATTCATGGGCACTGTCTAAAACTTTCCCAGCTTATCTCTGAAAAGATTGTAACCTTTTCGTCTGCAGTTGGCTCAACATGAATTACACAGGAGCCAGTGAGCTTCCATGACGGCCTAGGCTCGGACATTACACGTTGTTGTTTGTTGTTATTTCAAGACGTCATCAACGAGTACAATACATTCATTATCCACCATCAACTAAACTGCCTTAAAGAAAAAATTTGGAAGGCATTTCTTTTCTGATTGCTTTAGTATTTGTTTCAATTGTATTGCTTGAAAAAGGTCACCGTCATTTTTCACTTTTTTATTGGTGCTATGCTGACAGCCCGCCGCGTGTAGAGGCTGCATTTTGACCTCTTTTTAGTGACTTCGTTTAACAAAAAAAAAAAAAAAAATTAAATTAAAAAAAAAATTGAACACACAACCTCCATGTTTGCTATTTATTATCCACCATCAACTAAACTGTCTTAAAAAAATGGTTTGTGTGAGAATCGAACACACAACCTCCAGGTTTGCTATTCATTATCCACCATGGCAAAATTGCCTTAAAAAAAAAAAAATGGTTCGTGTGGTAATTGAACACAAAACCACCAGCTTTACTATTCACGATCACAGAGAGAGAGAGAGAAAAAAAAAACTGGCTCGTGTGGGAATCGAACCCACGACCTTAAAAAAATTTAAAAATAAAAATTAATAATAATAATAAAAAAAAACTTGCCCCGTGTGGGAATCGAACCCACGATCGCTGAGTTTACTACTCCTGATCCAGCATGACTAAACGGAGGGAGGTAAACCGCGGCCCCTAAACCATAAATGCGATAAACCTAGCACCACACCAAGTACCAGTTAGTCAACTCTGATAATACTAGAAAAAATTCTTTGTATATATACACTGCAGGTTAATATTACCAATGGTTATGGTGTCAAAAAAATGGAAAGTGGGCCAAGAGGGTTTATTTTTTGTCTAAAAATGTATAATTAAATTTATAATCGATTTATGATTGTTACCATTTCCATAACTTACGCACTTTTTTTTAAATAGACAAAAATGTTTTAAAAAAATCATTATGCAAATTAGAAAAAAAAAAAAACTAATCATGTTACTGGAAACCTGGTGGTTATGTGTTCAATTCCCATATGAACCATTTTTTTTTTTTTTTTTTTTTTTTTTTTTTTTAAGGCAGTTTTGTTGATGGTGGATAATTAATAGCAAACCTGGAGGTTGTGTGTTCGATTCCTATACACATCTAGATGTTTTTTTTAAGGCAGTTTAGTTGATGGTGGATTGGTTGATTTTAAAAGTAGTGTACATGCAGAAAGACTAAATTAATCACTGTTTTAAGTTTATTTTATTTGTTTTTCATGGTTCGAATTTTGAATGGTACCGGTACGTCACAAGCTAATCAGTAGTTAATAAATCATTACTTTTTATGAATGTTAGTTTGCACGAAATATATAAGCGGGAATAATTATGACTAAAAGGATAATTTTAAAAACTTTTTATGAAGAGTATTTCAGTGGCAGATTCAATGGGCCCAGCCGGCCCACCATCCCTAATTTTTTTTTTTTTTTGGAATTTTAAAAGTGGAGAAAAATGAAAATTATATTCAAATTTAGTCAGAGAGTGCCATTTCCGACCAACTAGAGGTGCCATAATTATAAATTTTCTAACCTCAGCCCCAACCATGGTGGGGCGGAGGTGGTCTACGCTCTCCATCTGTAAAAGTTTCTCTCTGGGCCCAGCTCTATTTCAAATTACTGGATTCGCCACTGGATATTTTAAAAATTTCGCATGGAAATAAATGTTAATTGCATTGCTTAAAATCAATTAAAAGGCTATAGGCGCCAGAGCTTCTCGGGGTACGCAACGTAGTACGCGTCTCTTATACACATCTAGATGTGTATAAGAGACAGCAACTAAACTGTCTTAAAAAAAAGTGGTTCGTGTGGGAATCGAACACACAACCACCAGGTTTTGCTATTCATTATCCGCCATCAACTAAACTGCCTTAATTTTCTCGCAATTCGCATTGGCAGATCTGGGGAGGGGGTCCGGGGTCCTGACCCTTGGGCAAAAAAAAAAGAAAAAAAACCACAAAATTCAGATTTTTTGTTTTTTTGTTTTTTTTGTTACAAATAACAAAATTAGAAGTTGGGAAAGCTCATTTCCCGTCATCTAGGATTCAAAATTATCTCGGGGAGGTCCTCGACCTCATTTCGTTTTTGAGTTTCATCGATTCATGGAAAAAATACGTATGCAACGTATGAATACTCGGTACACAATAATCGTTTTCAAGAGGGAGAAAACCTTGAATTTTGAAAAACTTGAAAGTCATTAAAAGAAATTGGCTTGTGGCGGCCAAGCGTTCATAGCGACGTCGCTTTTTGATCCTTCGATGTCGGCTCTTCTTATCATTGCCAAGCAGATTTGGCCAAGTGTTGGATTGTTCACCCACTAATAGGGAACGTGAGCTGGGTTTAGACTGTCATGAGAGAGGTTAGGTTTACCCTACTGATGGTCAACAGTCACCCCAAGAGTCAATCCAAGTCGGTGTTGCCACCGACGGCGTCCCTGAGCTAATTGAATAAATGCGTAAACTTACGTTTTTATTCTCTAGTTTTCGCTGGTTTTCAACACAGCTTAATCATGAGTGAGTCCATGTACCCTGGGAACGATTTCGTGAAATCTCGCTGTTTGTATACCTACGTATACATGTGCGCTTAACAAGATCTTCCAACTCCATCCATTCCAACTTGTTCGACCGGTCTATCATAAACGTATTGGGAACAATTCATTCCCTTCAATTACTGCCCAACTTTGGAATGGTCTGCCTAATTCTCTCAGATCTTGTGATTCGCTTAGGCAGCAGTTCAAAGCCCATCTAAAAACACACATTTTTGAAATAGTTCCTCTCCTTGCTTAGATCGTATTTGTTTATTGTTTCGTTTGTTTTCTTATTTTTTCTACTGCATTTATTAGTACACTTTTCTTGGGTTTGGTTCTATGCAAGCTTTACTCGGGAGGATGTTTTTGACTTATTATGTGGAGAGTCGCTTACAGCGCTTCGTAACTGAAAAGAAAGGCGCTATACAAGTAACAAGTAACAAGCAAAAGAAGATTTTGAGGATGATGATCTTTTTAGGACACCTTTTTTTGTTCAGAACAATCAAATATAATTATGTTCATACAGATACATCTGAGATTTATAGTGTATTAAACCTGTTTCAAGTGACACACGTCGCCATTTTAAATTAAGTATACAGTATATTAAACCTAAAATGTTATTTATTTCATTTGAATAAATGTAATTGATAACTCCATGTCAAAATATGTAAGTGTAATCTGTGCGACTAGGTCTATATTCCAAAACCATCCAGTAGTTAGTGTCATTTTATTTTTCTTTAAAAAAAATTATGAAACTGTACCAGAAAAAAAGTTTCATGTGCCACATTTTATTGCTGTAATCCTGTATGAAAAATAAAGTAAACTTACAGTTGAACTTTAACCGGATTACAATGTATGACCCCAATGGCTCACCATGGCACATTCGAGTTGCGTGTTCACTTCATTGGTTCTGGGAGTGGTGGATAAATTTCTCAGAAATAAAAGTACACAAAATGTAAGCACGATAAATTTCAAAGATATATGCATCAGAAATTCAGATGTAGGTTTTCTTTTCTGTCAGTGCACTGCATGCATAGGCCTAGCTAGGCTAAATAATCCACAATCTTCGACTAGGCTTAGGCCATATACAGTAGGCTAGGGGCCTAGCTAGGCTACAATACAATCAATGTATAAGATCGGGTGTACTCGGCTCGAGTTTAGCCCTCCCTGGACTTACTCAACTGTAGCATAGGCCTAGGCCTAGATCTGTTTTGAAAGTTGGGTGGGAGGGGGTGCAGTCATGAATCCACGCCCATCTTGGGGCTGATGTGCTCTTTCGTTAAAACCAGGGTCATTTATGCAGTTCATTTCAACAATTTTCAGGCATCTTCATAAGAGGTGGACCAACCACCCTTAAAAATAATGGGGGGGGGGGGCTGGGAAGTGGGTGAGTTCCCTGTTCCCTATGATCTGTGCCCATGAAGTAGATCTTGATCTTGGTTGTGTAATTGAAAAACTCTGAACTATCACTCAATATTTGTGTAGATGCGAGAGAGGAGGGACTAGGGCCTAGGCCTACCTAGTAGTAAAGAATTGCGATTTGCTTGCAGAAGGCGACAGGATTGTTAATCATGGTAGTAGAGTAAGGGAGGGCCTGGTAGTAGACCTAGAAATTAATTTATATTCATTTCATTTTTTCCTCCTTCCAGAATCACAACTCGTCAATAAATCAATCATGTTTGGTTTAAATGCCATTTCATATACTGATGCAAATCATGGCCGAAATATAGCTGTTAGTTTAAAAGACATGCGTAATTCGAAAGTTCTCACTGACCTTACACTCAGGGCTCAGAATAAGGAAATACATTGCCATCGAAACATACTCGCTGCTAGTAGCCCGTACTTCATGGCGATGTTTACCACCGGCCTATGTGAAAGCTCTATGACGTCTATCGATATTAACGGCATTGATGAAACCGCTTTGGACGTCATCATTAATTTTATGTATTCCGGATGTTTCTCGATCAACGAGAGCACAGTACAGGACCTATTCATGGCATGCAATCTCCTTCAGATTTCACAGCTTGTTGAATATTGTGTGGAATATTTAGAACGATGCATGAACATATCAAATTGTATTGGTATAATTGATATGGCGAAGACATACTCATGTGAACAGTTAGAAGAAGTCGCAAGAGATTACATAAGTTATAATATTATGAAAGTGTGTAAAGAAGAGGAATTTTTAAAAGCATCCGAGTCACTAATTCGCGAGATAATTTCTAATGAGAATTTGAATGTTGAACATGAGCAATCTGTATTCGAAACACTGGTAGAATGGATTAAATTTGATGAGAAGTCACGATCAAATTATACAGCCGATCTCCTGGCATGTATTTCACTGAGTAAAATTGATGAACAATACCTCCGTGATGAATGGAATAAAAATACATTCTTAACAGAAAGCTTAGCTCCATGGAACATTGAGAAGGGACCAGAAGAGACTCTGATAAAGCCAGATCGACTTGGTACAACTAAAAGGGAGCTCTTACTTTGCGTAGGTCGTAAAAATCGTGAACAAGCATTATGGTGTCAAAGTGTTGAGTGCAGTATCAGTTACAGCATTGCGCTTCCCGTAGTTTGCCGTGTGATGGGTGTCCAGTTTGTCGTGACCAACGACAATGACATCTACATTGCTACCGATGACTACCGTGACAAAAGTTTCTACAAATACAGTCACATCCAAGAGAACTGGATAGAAATGTCACCTATGCTTTATGGCCGTTCTGAATTCTCTCTGAAGTGTGTAAATGACAGAATCTTCACTATAGGTGGTATGAGTGACTGGGACATTTTAAACAGTGTTGAGTGCTATAACCCACTACGTAATGAATGGACATTCAAATCAGAAATGCCACGCGATGTTCTTGATTATCGCACAGCTGTTTACCGCGATTCAATATACATATTTTCCGGTAGTCGGACCATGTGCTACAACACGACTACCGATACATGGACACCCTCGCTTGCACCCATGCCAACACCACGTCTTTGTCCAGGTATTGTTACTGTAGGGTCAGAGATTTGGGCAATTGCTGGTGAATCAGCAGGAGATGGTGAAACCTATGCTAAACCAATGGTTGAAGTAGAGGCTTACATTCCAGAATCAAACACATGGGAGCGTAAACCACCACTGAACGTAGCTATAAAATATTGCTCTGCCTGTATGTATAACTCAAAACTCTATGTGTGTGGACTGCGTTTGAGCATGATCTCCTCACTCAATTCTCGTTGTAGTATGTTTGTTTACGATTCAGTTAAAGAAGAGTGGACAGACCTGGGACTGATTTCTCTCCTAGAAGTCACTGGCATGGTTACAGCTAAAATGTTTGTTAAAAACCTAAAAGCATGACGTAGATCAATAGTAAAATATTTATAATATTTTCCAAGGCATGCACAATTTTAATTTTTGTTAAACATGTTTAAAAAAAATGTTTATAACAATTTGTATACAGTACTGTATGTATTTTAAACTGTTTGGTAATCATGTTTAATTGCGATTTGCAATCCCCGATTGCATTATATGGGTGTGCTATAAAACTTGGTACATTCTTTTTATATTATATACAGTAATTAATTTCTCATGATTGTCAACAGTAAAGAATATTCCATAAGTAATTAAAAACAAACATGCCAGGAAGTTGCATAAAGTATGTTAGAAATTTACTGACATTTCTTCTAGGATATAATAAAAAGACAATGTAAAGCCTGAAAATGACTGTTAATGGAATTTTTGGAGTCTGGGAAGTCACAGAAATTTGCAGTCAAAATGAGCAATGAAAACCATTAGAGTTACATTACTGATATATTCAGTTTTTAACAATGTTCAACAGTACTGTAACTGAAATGACCAAAATGATAACCCTCCCAAGGTACAGGAAGTCCATGAATCATGTGACCCTCCATGAAAAGACAGTAGAAACATTCCTTTGGTGACTTTTCTGCATCTTAACACCATATTGTATTATGCAGTAAATGATGGTGGGATATATCAGGTAAAATATGTATAACGATTGGAGAGAAGAATAAAAATTTCATCATGAAAAGTTGTGAAAAGGTACCAATACTCAGCCTACAAGGGAGTGTGGCTTTCGAAGTCATGACTTTGAAGGGAACATCTTTCTTTAGACTTCACAAATTTGTAAAAATGTGTTCTACAATTTTAAAACAATAAATTGATTAAATATTATTATATGTATATAAACCTCATAAACTTTATTGAACAGAAATGTATGTGTAATTTCATTTTCAATGGAATGCATTTGATGATGTGATTCATGTACCTGTGTTGTGTCCGTGGTGATCACAGATGCACTTGATGGCAGCCTAACTCCAGCTACTACTATCTGAAATAAATAAAGCAATGAGGGCAGAAGAAGTTTGCATTATGCCTACACTCACTACTTGGCATTGCTGAGCAGCAACATATAAAATAAAATAGTGTTTATACTGATCAACATCCTTCAATGTTGTTATTTTCTATTAAAAAAAAAATGTGGCATGGCATGCCTAAATATGGTCATGATGACTATATATGGGCATACAACAGTTTTTTGTCAAAGAAAATTTGATATTTGAACAAGGCTTTGCTTTTGTACTATATTATACCTATCAAACTATGTACAGTACTTTTTGTCCATTGTAATTAAAACAAGCATTGAACACGGCATTTTAAACCTATAATTATAATGTACTGACAAACTGAGAATCATTTTCCATTACAAAATTGCATTCATCATGTTTAGACTGAAGTTTAATTTAGTTGGTTATAATTTGAATGTTTTTCATAGTCATAGTATAGTAGAATTGTAGTCAAACTGACTCCACTCTACAAAGGGGCAACTCATGGAATAAATAACATCTTAACTGAGAAACCTTGAGTAGTCAATTGATGCTATGCAGAAAAATAGTTGATGCTGAATAAAGCTTCTCACATTTAAAGTATTTCATCTGACTACTGTATATCAACCAACTCGCTATAATATTACATGGTGATCAAACCGGAGGTACTATACAAACCCCTCACCAACCAACCATAATAATTATTACAATAGTACAAAAGGTACTGTACGGTAAAAAGAAATACAGGGATAGAGATATGCAGTTACATTTGTGTTTGCGTATGTTTTTTTATACTGTCGTTTTGTGCAACCTTCGATACAATATCCAAGGGGCGTGGCTTATCAGAAAGGTCCATTATGGATGTGATGAATGAAAGTATTGCCTGAAAATGCGCTCATATGTGTTGATGTATGGACGATAGGCAAAAGAAATCTCTGAATATATACAATGATCTTTGGGACGCCTTTTTAGTTGAGACCAGTCAAATAGGATTACGTTCATACAGATAGGCTCTGAGATTTATAGTGTATTAAACCTGTTTCAAGTGACAGGCACTTAGCCATTTTAAATTTATAGGCCTATGTTAAGCCTAGTTTAATGTGTCACATTTCATTACTGTATGTCGAACGATTTATGACCCTAATGGCTCACCATACACATTCGAGTTGTGTTTTTGTGGATGGTTAGGCAGTGTGGTGGATAAATTTCTCGGAAATAAAAGTACACAAAATGTAAGCGCAATAGATGTCAATGATATATGCATTGGATGTATGTTTTCTTTTCTTCCAGTATATTTTCCAATGTACTGTACAGCCAGACTAAACCCTAGATCTGTTTTGAAAGGTGGGGGGGGGATGGGGAGTTGTGAGTCCACACCCTCCTCAGCTCCCCCATGGTTGGTGGCTAAGGTGCCTAAATTTTAGAAAATGACACCTAGGCCTAGTACTCTGGCTGTACATACAGTCCTCTTTTGTTAAACCCTGGGTCATTTTATGCAGTTCATTTTAACTTCAAAATTTCCAAGCATCTTCTTGACTTATGAAATTCCATTGCATTTAAAAAGTGGGAGACCAATCTCTTTTAAAAATATGTGGAGGACGTGTCTCCTGTCCCCCATGATCTGCACCCAAGAGGTAGATCTGAAAATTCATTTATATTCATCTTAATACCTTAAAAGTTGAGCATGGTCCTAACAAGTTATTTTTTCTTTCCTTCCAGAATCACAACTCATCTATATATCAATCATGTTTGGTTTAAATGCCATTTTATATACTGATGCAAATCATGGCCAAAATATTGCTGTTAGTTTAAAAGACATGCGTAATTCAAAAGTTCTCACTGACCTCACACTCAGGGCTCAGAATAAGGAAATACATTGCCATCGAAACATACTCGCTGCCAGTAGCCCGTACTTCATGGCGATGTTTACCTCCGGCCTACGTGAAAGCTCTATGACGTCTATCGATATTAACGACATTGATGAAATCGCTTTGGAAATTATCATTGACTTTATGTATTCAGGATGTTTTTCGATCAATGAGAGCACAGTACAGGACCTATTCATGGCATGCAATCTCTTTCAGATTTCACAGCTTGTTGAATATTGTGTGGAATATTTAGAACGATGCATGAACATATCAAATTGTATTGGTATAATTGATATGGCGAAGACATACTCATGTGAACAGTTAGAAGAAGTCGCAAGAGATTACATAAATTATAATATTATGAAAGTGTGTAAAGAAGAGGAATTTTTAAATGCATCCAAGTCACTAATTTGCGAGATAATTTCTAGTGAGAATTTGAATGTTGAACATGAGCAATTTGCATTCAATACACTGGTAGAATGGATTAAATTTGATGAGAAGTTACGATCAAATTATACAGCCGATTTACTGGCATGTATTTCACTGGGTAAAATTGATGAACAATACCTCCGTGATGAGTGGAATAAAAATACATTCTTAACAAAAAACTTAGCTCCATGGAACATTGAGAAGGGACCAAAAGAGACTCTGATAAAGCCAGATCGACTTGGTACAACTAAAAGGGAGCTCTTGCTCTGCGTAGGTCGTAAAAACTGTGAACAAGCATTATGTCAAAGTTTTGAGTGCAATATCAGCTACAGCATTGCTCTTCCCGTCATTTGCCATGCGATGGGTGTCCAGTGTGTCGTGACCAACAACAATGACATCTACATTGCTACCGATGACTACCGTGACAAAAGTTTCTACAAATACAGTCACATTCAGGGGAACTGGATAGAAATGTCACCTATGCTTCATGGCCGTCGCACTCTAAAGTGTGTAAATGACAAAATCTTCACTATAGCTGGTATGATGAGTGAATGGTACATAAACAGCATTGAGTGTTATAACCCACTACGTAATGAATGGACATTCAAATCAGAAATACCACACGATGTTCTTGATTATTGCACAGCTGTTTACCGTGATTCAATGTACATATTTTCTGGTAGTCGGACCATGTGCTACAACACAACTACCGATACGTGGACACCCTCACTTGCACCCATGCCAACACCACGTCTTTGTCCAGGTATTGTTACTGTAGGGTCGGAGATTTGGACAATTGCTGGTGAATCACCAGGAGATGGTGTCGTCTATAGTGCTAAACCAATGGTTGAAGTAGAGGCTTACATTCCAGAATCAAACACATGGGAGCGTAAACCACCACTAAATGTAGCTATAAAATATTGCTCTGCCTGTATGTATAACTCAAACCTCTATGTGTGTGGACTGCGTTTGAGCATGATCTCGTCACTTAATTCTCGTTGTAGTATGTTTGTTTACGATTCAGTTAAAGAAGAGTGGACAGACCTGGGACTGATTCCTCTCCTAGAAGTCACTGGCATGGTTACAGCTAAAATGTTTGTTAAGAGCTTAAAAACATGACATAGATCAAGTTCACTGAGAATATACAGTAGTAAAATATTTATTAGTGGAAATATATTTTTCAGGGCATGCTGAATTTAAATTTAAAAAAAAAATTGTTTTAACATTTTCTCATTACTGCTGTATTGGTAACCATGTTTATGGGTTTGCTATAAAGCTTGGAAACCTTTTCATATTATTTATTTGACATGATTGTGACAGTAAAGAATACATAATGCTATAAAATTATTGAAAACAAACATGCCAGGAAGCTGCATATGAGAATAATTAATACAATGGAAAACAAAATTACTGTAATTTTGGGAGGCTTTGAAGTCAAAATGAGCAATGAAACCCATGGGAGTTACTGATATATTTAGGTTTCAACATGTAACTGAAAATGACCAAGGTACAGGAAATCCATAAATCATGTGACCCTCCACCACATGTTAAATTGAGATTAGCAAATAAATGACACAGTTAAAACATTTCTTTGGTGATTAGTAAAATATTTATAATGATTGAAGAAGAATAAAAATAAACATTGTACCTTCATCGCTTGTTTTTATTAAACATGCTCCAATTATGGATAACATTTGAACACAAATACTAACAGCTTAGTAGGAAAAAAACCTTCATTTTTCAATATCATGTTCTCTTTAATCAAGGAATGATAATTAACATGTACCACTACAGTAAAAATCTATAGTAACTTTATCTACACTATACTAATGCCGCATTCTAATACACCTGTGAATGGCGTTCATCATGAAGTCATGAAAAGGTACCAATACTCAACCAACAGGTGAGGGTGGCTTGACTTTGAAGGGAACATATGTTTTTTAGACATTACAAATTTGTAAAAATGTGTTTTACACTTTTAAAACGATAGGTTGATTAAATATTATTAAATGTTTATAAACTTCAGTGAACAGAAATGTGTTAGACTGTACATGTTATAAAATTTGCGTATTTTCATTTTCAATGGAATGCATTTGATGACGTGATTACCATTATTCACGTATTGCGTTTGTGCTGATCACGGCGGAACTGAAGGGCAGCCTAACTCCAGCTACTTCCTGAAATAAATAAGCAATAGAGGGCAGAACAAGTTTGCAATCGGCCTACCCTCACTACTTGGCATTGCTGAACGATATACAAAATAAAATTGTGTTTATATTGATCAGCATTCTTCAATAAAGCCCTGTCCAGACTATCAAATTGTTATTTTCTCAAAAACATGTGACATGCCTATATATGGTCAAAATGATATCACATCATGATTGACCTTATATAGGCATACAACAGTTTATTTGTCCCAAGAAAATTTGAGTCTGGATTGCACTAGATTGTGCTTGTTAAGCTCTATCCACACTATCAAATTTTCTTTGACAAAAAAATTTGACATGCCCATATATGGTAATGCTATGCCTATACATGGTCATGGTGTGATGTCATCATGCCTATATATGGGCATATCACACTTTTTTGTCACACAAAATTTGATAGTGTAGACAAAGCTTTAAACTATGTATAGTACTATGATATTTGTCCATGTTACTAAAACAGACATTGAACACTGACATTCTAAACCTATTGGAATGTTTTCAACTACTGTACAGTACCAACAAACTGATTTTTCTTTTACCAAAATCATTTTCAATTACCAAATTGCATTCATCATGTTTAGAGAGTTTACAACATAAATGCTTTTTATAGTCTTTTCTTGAACTCTAGTTTCAACAATGACCAAAAATATTAGGATTCTAAGCAGTGGCAGTACCAGTGGTGGCCCCTGGTCACCTGTCAGGGAAGAAGCAAATTATTTCGTCCGGTAGCAATTACCTCCATGCTTTAATAAAGCATTTTTAATGTCTGAGCATGACATTTTTCTGGGCATCTACTCTAGGTGGTTATATTCTTAAAATTTGCTCATAACACGGTGGGTTTGAAGAGAATTTAAACCCCTAGTTGGAAAATTTTCTGGCCCTGGAACTGATTGTAAATATGGATGAGTGAACTTGGTAATTGAAAATTATTAAAGCAAATTATAGGGAAGGTTAATAGTTAAAATTTCTCATACAGTTATAATTTTACTCCTAACATCTTTGAGGTAATTATTTTTAAAATCTGATAAAAAATTCACAAATGTATTGATAAATTAAATACTGTTACTATGTTATTTGGTATTTTAACCAAACTGAATATCAAATAATAATAATAATAATAATAATATAGTATTGTTAACTATCAAATGCAGTGCACCATCCAATTCGAGGCTCCTCAAATTTCGAGACCCCTCTAATTTGAGAACACTTTTTCAAAAAACCAAATAATCACCAATCAATCTTTAACAAAAAGCTAGCCCTCTAATTTGACACCAAACCCTGGCCTCCCCCTCCCAAATTTTCAGGTCCCAAAGATGGTTTCAAATTGCTTATTATTTGATATTGAGTTTAAGTCTTTTTTTTTACTTACTTAGTAGTCACATGAAGAGATTGGTTGATTTCATTTTATTATATATCTTACTACTTGTAGTAGCAAACTTTTCAAAAAATTAGTAACTTTCCTATCTTTAAAATCTGTGATTTTGTGTATAGCACCACTTTTGATTAAGTTTATAACGCTTAATCTTCTTGATCATTTTAAATGAGGTTTGAGGTATTCCCTGATTTTTTTTTCGCAGACAGTGTATCTTTAAGCTTTATGTGGCAAAATATAGTACATGGGATTTGCTTGAATGTGGGCATGATGTTGCCGTACACAGTACGCTCTGTGTGGACTGACTCTTTTGTTTTTCAAAGGATAAAAATCAGCCTCTTATTGTGTTGAAATATAGCATACATAGCACCACAATAGTAGCACCATAAATTGTATCAATGTACATATTTATTGGGAAATCCAAAATTTTGAAAACAAACACTTACCACAAATATTTGGTGCAGTGCTCCCCTATTATTTTCTTGTGTTTAATAAAGGATTACTGTTTGGCACTGACAAAAGGAGGATGAGAAATATTTCTACCACTAAGATCTATCTATGCCCATAGTAGGAGGAATGCTCAATATCATGTTGTATACATGTTAAATCTATGAGGCCCATAAATAAAAATACACTGTTTACTCCAAGCTAAGAATTTACAATAGACGCCCTCTACAATCCACAGATGAACAGTAGCAATATAGAGTCTTGTTTGCAACACTTCCTACTTCATATCCATAATCCCAAGTGAGTTCACTTCCTGCTCTGATGTTTCTGAAGAAATGAAGTTTAAATGTTATAATATTTTTTAATCATTTAAGGCTTGCTATAACAATATACTGTACCTCTCTCTGCAATATATTTTTTAAAATAATTTCTTGAATATTTAACTTGGATTTCTGATGATCACATAATTAATGTTAAAATAATGAATCCCAACATGATGGCATGCATTTCAATACTTGGAGTATGTATTATGCTTCCTTATCTGAGATTAACCTTATCTGAGATTAATCAGTGAACCTTTCAGTAACTTGGATTTGTGCATACAAATAAACTACCGGTAACTTTTGTTCAAGCTCAAGTTAGAGATACTTTTATTTATTAGGTACAAACACAAACTTTTTATCTTATTGCAATAATTTTAATAAAAGTTTTTAAACATCATTTATTTATAAGATAATATAAATCAACTTACTGTCCCGCAAAGAAAGCTAACCAGGGAAAACGCAGATCATGGGTGTCAACAAAAACATTCTGGACAAACAAGTTAGGAACACAGCTATGCTGTGGAGAATAACAATTGTCATTACAACTATTTACAATACAATACGTGGCAAAGAAAAGCCAAACCAGTAACTCGTAGCAAAAATCGATTTTGCATTATTAATACAGTGTTAAAGAATAAAATAAGAGCTATAAAATGGTAAAAATCATTAAAATCCAACATTTCCTTATGAAGTTACAAGCATTTAAACATACATATATGAGAAATCAGCATTCAAATTTTTTTGGGCATTTTTCATGCACAAACTATCATGAAATCCTTAAAAAGTGTTGTTTTAACATTGAATAAGGGGGAAATAACAGCATAGCATGATGTATAGATATACAGTATAAAGGTTAGTTTAGTGCAATAAAATTGATTTTTTACAATTTGACATTTCAGCATCTTTTGGCCATTTTCTCTGAAACACGATTGCAACGAGTGACTAGTTTGGCTAGTTTCTTTTAAAGCACATCATGCCAACAAGGCCTTTACGTTATTTACCCGAGCCATTAGGTCAAACAGCTATGAAACATACTTGGCAGAGAATTCCATATTATTGCAGCTAATAATCGGTGCATTGGTGTTTCAGCCTACCAGGTACCACCTTCACGAACTGCTGGAGAGAGACAACCATTGGTAGTGCCATGCCCAAGTACAAGCAAAATTCACAGAGAGGGTTCAAATGTTGAGAGGCCAAATCGCAAATGCTGTACCAACAACTCCAAAACTTTGTGTAACTAAAGCCTTTTCAAGAATTTTATTCGATAAAAACATGTGACATGCATAATGACCATGATGACATAATATCATGACCATATATAGGCACATCATGACCATATATAGGCACATGACCATATATAGGCACATCATGACCATATATAGGCACAACATGACCATATATAGGCACATCATGACCATATACGGCATAAGAAAATTTGGTAATGTGGACAAAGCTTAATCGGTTATATAAATTTGTTAAAACTAGTTTTTTAAAAGTGCACTCTTCTGATCATTAATCAGTGTTTCTCCTTGAATATGGGGCGCCAATTTGGTCTTGTGAAGATGGAGGCCGTGGAAAAAACCCATCTCTGGAGTCGCGTTCATCACTTCTTTTATTGATGGTACACAACAATTGTTGGGTAAGTTTGGTTTCCATACAATCGCTACATACTATCGCTGACAGCTTTCGGCGATGCTGATTCGTCAGTCGAAATCGGGGAGGCTCCCCGTGTACGTCGGCGATTGCTACACAGTACAGTGACGGAGCTGAAAAAGCTGTAGCAATAGTGTAGCGATTTTAAGGAAACTGGACTTAACTGTCAACTTACATTAAAATATCGGCCTAGATTTCCCTCTCTTTTTGCATCCATCACATAGCAGCGTTCTTCTTCTCCAAACAAGCTTCGACTTCGTGGGAAAGTTGGTTTTTCTTCATCTGCCTTGATTTCTTCTGCTACTCAAACAAAATTGGATAATTACTTTTCAACATTAACAGTCATGCATTTCAATCTTGCCACTCAAGTGTGGTGGTCTTGCACTTTCAGTACCATACTTCCATATTATTAGAAAAAATAAAGGTAGATTAATACCTTTAGTATTGTTTGAAAGCTGATTATACAATGTTTCTGCAAAGTAGCACTGGTATAGCTCCTACAGATGTGGAGGCCTATCTGTTTCAAATTTGAATTCTGGGGGTGGTGTGGAAAGCAACGCCAGAAAAGAGAGCACACCCTATATACTACTTTAATGTTTTATTATTTAAATAATAACAAGTTATACCTATCACTGGACACCAAACAAGTAGGTGAGCACTACTATCAGTACAGTATAAAGCCAATACTGAAATATCCAGCTATGCTCAGTTGGACATACCGGACTTACCTTTCTTAAGAGAGATATTGGCCATCTCTTGAGATGCAATACTTGGACTCTTTGTCAGGGCTAAACGTGTGTGCGTTGATTTTTTTGCAGTCCTTATTTTTCCTATAAAACAGAATGTGTTAAATTGCAATACATTATAATCTTATTCATCCAAATCCTAGTAATTAAA